AAGTTTTGAAAGAACTATTGAAACTTTTGACAGAGGCAGACGATATAAACATCAAAGAAATAGAACCCGACATTGCTTGCTGTGGTGTTTCATATAATGTCATTGACAAGATATACGTTATGAAAGGAGGTGAAACGTTGAACTTAAAATATAGTTTCCCAGACGTCATAAAAATATTGACGACCACAACATTTCATTAAAATTTAGTTGCTAAGTAAATGGCAGAAGACATAGTGGTTTATACTATTACGACTAAAACCCTGAGTCATATAATTCTATAACAACAAACTTACAAAGTCCTCAAGGACGATATTGTAAACTGACCTTAACACGATGACGACTAAAGCCTGTTTTGCTCTTTTGACACCAGAAGACTTTATTGTTGTGAATGGTAAAAAATACTTCTTTGAAGATACTTACTCAGATATACCACCAACAGGTTTTGTTGACTTATTTAATACTTTAAGGACGGATGTAACATGTGCTGCAACTAGAGCAGGTTTCATTATGTTTGGATGTCCGACTGAGTTTAGTATAAACAATATGAGCTATAATACAAAACTTATATCTGGTTTTTACTACCAACAGTTTCCTATAACAGGAAAAGGTGTCATACAAGGAATGTCTGTTCCATTGACTTTAAGCACACCTATTTTATATATTGTTTCAAACTTAGGTTCAAAGTGCTATTCGAATGTCGACAGAAACTACTATGACCAAAAGATACTCATGCGTATAAACAACACTTTCTCTGCTGGTTTGCCTATTGTTCATTCGAATGCAGAGTTTTCAGCTTTAGTAAACTCAAACACTTTAGCAAACATAAACTTAACCTTAGTTGACGCAAACTTTGTTCCTGTAAAACTTTTATGTCCTATGTATTTGTCAATGACGGCAGAAAGTTTCGAATTGGAAGATGCAACCGGTGAAAGTATTGTATTACAAGAACAACTTCAACAACAAATAGCTCAAGAACAACAAATGCAACAAATGGAACAAATGCAACAACAAAGTCAAGAATAAAAAAATATTATTTTTTTTTTATTTTTATAAAAATGTACAGAATAGATGTTTCAGATTTTTATGACTTCCAAGCGTTCAGAAATATGTGTCCATTTAGAGACTATAACAAAGCAGTCGAGAATTTGAAACGTTTAGTCATTTATGTTGACTCTGCCCAGAATGTTATGTCATGAAAGAATGGGATGTTGTCTTTAACAAACCAAGAGCGACAATAGTTTCAGAACAAGAATGTAGACAAAAAACTTAGAAAATAAAAGTCGTACAAGTTGGCATGAAGATGTTAGATGCTTGGGATATCTTATTGTCAAAGTTAGAAGATTTTTCAGTTCGAGGTATAAAGTTCTATACACCTTCTCCAAACTTCTATTCTATCTTCACTGGATATAAATACGAACAAGTAGAATGGAAAGAAATATTATAGAAGCTTGGTTAGACCATGTCAAAGAAATTATATGCAATGGAAACGAAAGAGTCTATGAGTATATCTTATGTTGGTTTGCAAACATCTTACAACATCCAAGTGCTAAAAATGAAACTGCTCTCATTATAATTGGAAAACAAGGAACTGGTAAGAACACATTCTTTACAGATATTTTGTGCAAACTGTTAGAAGGTTATTCGAACCCTAATATGACAAACTTAGAAAAACATCTGCGGTAAATTTAACTCCTCATAGAGAATATGAAACTTATAGTATGTAACGAACTTCAAAGTATAGATTACAACAAAAGTTTTGAACTCAGATGCTTTGAAGAGTCTTATAACAGACAAAGTTGGAGTTGTTGAAAGAAAGTATAAAGACCAAAGAGTTTGTGAAAATGTTGCAAACTTCATTATGGTTTCAAACAATACTGTTCCGATGAAGTTTAGAAAGTTCTGACAGAAGATATGTAGTTGTCAGAACGTCAGATTCTCATATGCAAGATACAGAATATTTTGACGACTTAGCAGAAACTTTGACATCTGACTTTTACAACCACTTGTTCTCATATTTCATGACATTAGATATTTCAAAGTTCAATCCAAGACAAATTCCATATACCGAAGAGAGACAAACATTGTTAGAAGCAAACAAGAGTGTATATGAACTGTTTATAGATGAAACTGACTTTGTGTCATTAGATGAAAGGTCATTGTACGATTCGTATAAACAATATTGTCAAGAATATGGTTATATGACAGCGTCTAAACGAACATTCTTGGCAAATGTCAAAAGTCTTTTAGATGTTCAGAACGGCGTATATACAAAGAAAATTTTTTCTGAGTAAATTTTAAAAAAAAATTTTTTTTATCCGATAGAAAAGATGACGAAATTCATCTCAGTAAACAAGTACATGACAGAAGTCAAAGAAGAACTAGACCCATTCGCTTATTTGAATGTTTACTTCTACAATTTTGAAAAGTCTACATTTGACAAAATTTGGAACATTGCACCAGTTAAGTTTGCTGTTGTTAGAAAAAGTGGTGCAACTTTTGAAGACTTAGACATAGAAGGTTTGTTAGCAGTCAAAGAAAATTTTGACAGAAAGTTCTCAAAACTCGAAGAAGGTAAAGCATACAAACTTGTTATACCTTATGAACCAAAGAAAGCAGACGACTATGAATATTATGAGTCTAAGATAGTTGAAGTTCAAGGTAAATTGGGTAAAAAGATTTAGAGTCTAAGCCAGTGTTGCTCCTAAAGAGGAAGAGAACATTGACATTGACCCAGAAATGTTCTAAAATAAAATTTTATTTTTACATGTCAAATTTCTTTTTCTCTGGAACTGGTTCTTTCTTCTCTTCTTCTACTTTCTTTTCTTTCTTTCTTTCTTTTCTCTCTTCTTCTTCTTCTCTGGTGGAGTTATGTCAAACTTCTCAGAACCATAAAAAGTCTTTGTCCTTTAATAGCTCTTCTATTCTGTTTTCTATTTCATCTTCAAGAACAGCGCATGTGTCTTCTTTGCATTCTAAGAACTTTGTTGGACTTCATCTTTCCAATCGGCGTCATCTCTGTCAACAAGTCTGTCATTGACAAAATTTTTAAGACTGCTCTTTGTAATGTTTTATGGTTCTTGTCATATTCCCAGAAACAGAACTTTAGAACAAATTCACCTTTCTTGTTTACACTATGTAAGATTTTATGGTCGACAGATGTTTTGCTGTCAAAAAGTTTGTCTCGAATATAGATAGCGAAATCGCTAGACATTTTCAAAAAGATAAAAATTTTAATTTTTCTAAAAATATGTTAGAAAAAAGTTTGCTGACATTGACAAGAAATTTGAGAATGTTTTGAAGAAGAACAAGAGGAAGTTAGAAAATGCTCAGATAAAACCCATACATGACAAGTTCTTATTTGCTCAGAATGGTATAACAGGTCTAATTGCACCGCCTGGGTCGGGCAAGACTTTCACTTATCTTAAAATGGCTGCACAACAACAAGAACTAGATGAGAAGAACCCATTCTATGAGTTGGTTGTTATTTGTAGTACTTCTGGTCAATTTGACCAAACCGTCAATTCGTTCAAAGATATTATAAAAAAGTCTAAGTTAGTATGTATAAAAGACTCTGAGTTGTTAGATTGGATAAAGAAGTACCAAAGAAGAGTTTTGAAGTACAATGCTATAAATGAGTATATAAACTCGAAGTTTAAAGACCCAAATGAGGAAATGCAGAGAATATTAGAGAAGAAACACTTCCGAAACAAACAGAAAGAGATAGAATACATTTCGAAAAATTGCAATCTTACGATTGGAAGACTTACCCTCACAGATGTCTTCTTATCTTAGATGACTTTGCTTCTCATCCTTTGTTAAAGAACAGAGAACAAGACATGTGTCGAATTCTTAAGAAGCTCAGACACTTTAACATCTCAGTTGTCATTTGTGTACAGACAGCCAAGAGTTTAAGTAAGGATGTAAAGAGAATACTTACTGATATCATACTTTTCCCCGGATTGTCCGAAGACGATTTCATGGAACTTATGAAAGAGTCCATGGCAGGTAAGTTTGACAGACATGAACTATGGGAGAAGTACAAAGTCATACAAGACCCTCATACTTCTTTCAGAATTCATATCTACGCAAACAAAGTTCAAATTGTAAAAAGTCAAGCTTGAAAAATGTAAGTGTTTGAGTCTTAGTCTGTTGTGGTGCTGGGCCTTTCGGTTCTTCTGGCTTTGGAATGGACTCGGTTGGTGGTACGTCGGACATTCGTTTGTGTCCTGTCGGATGGAAGAACTTTTCCTGTTGGAAGGAAGAACTTTTCCTGTTGGAAGGAAAAACTTTTCCAGTTGTCGGGAAATTTTTTTCCTGTCTGAAGGAAAAATTTTTTCTGTCGTTCGACCAAAAAGTTCTCAATTTTCGAAAATTTGAATGGTTTACGGACGAACAACAGGAAATTTTTTTCCAGTTGTCAGGAAAATTTTTTCCAGTTGTCAGGAAATTTTTTTCCAGTTGGAAGGAAGAACTTGGAATGTCGGATGGAAGGACTTGGAATGTCGGAAGGAAGGACTTGGAATGTCGGAAGGAAGAACTTGGAATGCCAGAAGGATTTGACAAGACAATTTACCTTATAGAGCTACCTGAGCCATCTGAAGTCAAGCTTGAAAAATAAATGGTTCATCTACTCTACTTGTTTGAAGTTGTCAAAATACTCTGTTATTTTTTCCTTTAACAATGGCAAATCTTCTTTGAATGTAAGAATTGTACAACCTTTCATATCATAGTGTGTTTGAGGTAACGTATCTTGAACTATCTTTTTAACATCTTCATTCGGTGTCATTGAAATCGGTAAGTTTTCGCGATAGAACCAATTTCTGTCAGATTTGTAAATCTTAGCAAGGTCGTAAAAGCTTTTGTTGTTTCTTCTGACTAAATGCAACATAACCATATCTCTGTCTTCTTCATTTTCCATCTCTTCAGTATAAATCATATACTTATAGTTCTTTTCCTTTCCTTTTGGTACCGACCGTGGTATTCTTTTCTGTATGTTTTTGTCTTTTGCTTCAAGCTTGTTTTCCATCTCTTCACGTTCTTGTCTATGAATTTCATCTAACATCATGAAAATATAACAAGCATAACGAGGCGAAGCCCACATTGCAACAGCATTTACAAGAAGTCTATGTACATAATATCCTCTTAAATTTATTGGCAAATTTTTACGATTTTCATACGGAATCTCATTCCTCGGTTTTCCGAGGGAAGCAAACATATGAGGAAATTCTTCTAAAAGTTCTTTTGTCTGTTGGTTTTCAAACCAATGATATGCTTGCTTTGTAGAACGAAGAGCGTTCAAAATACTTTGCATTTGGTACATATCGTCTTTGACTGAACGAATGAGACGGAGTTGTTTGTTAAACTGTATGTACTCATATTCTTCATTTATAGCTTCATGGACTATAACTGTTGTTGTGTTCTCTGTTGTTGACATATCTGTCTTTATATTCCGGATAAAAAAATAAATAAAAATAAAACTAACTTTATTTTTTCTGTCTTAAGGAAATTCATGAAATTTGGTCATTTTTCAGCAAAAATATATTTTATGTTAGAATGTTAGATCTAACATGTTTTCTAACATGTTTTCTAACATGGTCTAAAACATACAAAATTCATGAAATTTCATACGGAATTCAATAAAAATAATGTTTATGTTAGAATGTTAGATCTAACATGTTTTCTAACATGTTTTCTAACATAACTATTTACAAGCGTTTTACATGGTATATGTTGCGATGGTTCATGACTCTAAACAATTTCGTAGCTTCTATTTCTTCTTTTAGTATGTCAAAAGTTTTAACGATACCGAAAGTTTCTTTATACTTCTTCTTGACGTCAGATAGAAGGAAATCTTCTGCTGTTGGATAGTTTTTGTTCAGAAATGCTAACATGTCCATTTTATCTTCTGCTGGCTTTTCTGCTTCTTTCTTTAAGTCTGCATAGTCGTTTCGCATACGTTCTATCTCTTTGACGGAGTAGTTATATCTCCTCATTGCCGCTTTACATTTAGAACATTGTGGGTTCATTTTTGCGTTATATTCTGAAACCTTACCTGCAAGTATGACCAAGGCGTCAATGGTTTTCTTCATCTCGAACATAGCGGGTTTTATTTGTTCGTTCCATACCTTACCCCTACTATCTTTATCTCTTATTTCCCAAACACATTTTGCAACTAACGAAACAAAGTTGTCGTAGGTCTTAAACTCCCCAGATTTGTATATGTCAGAGATGTTCTTATATACCATATCGCAATCTTTGTCCATGACTTTGTGGTTGCAATGAAATCCAAGAAACTCATAGTTAACCTTTCGTATGAACTTCTTTATTTCTACTGAGTCAGTTGCTTTGACTTCTATTTCATCGAATTCTGGAATAGTAAGCTTTTGTTGTTGGATTTCAGGCAATTTGGGTAAATGGTCAATAATATCCTGCATTTCATAAAGATACTGTTCATTTGTTTCATCTTTCGCACTACAGTCTAAATTACTTGTTAAAAGTTCTTGCTTTATCTTCTGGATTTTTGTTTCGAAAGTATATGAAGAAGGAATGAAGTTTTTCATCTCTACTAACATAGATGTTGGATTCATAACTAGCGAGTTTGGTGCTGTTGTTGCTAACATGTTCTTACAATAAAAATAAAAAATATTTTTTTAAAAAAACTAACTTTATTTTTTATTTCGGGAAAATTCATGAAAATTCAAGAGGGTAGAAAAGAGGTTAGAAAAGAGGTTAGATATACCCATCTACCCTAAACATTATTTTTGGTGTAAATTTCATGAGTTTTGGTTGAAAGAATACGGTGGAGCCAAAAGTGGCTCGACCTCAAAACAAGCATTTTCTGTGTAAATTTCATGATTTTCGAGAGTTTTAGACCATGTTAGAAAACGTGTTAGAAAACATGTTAGATCTAACATTCTAACATAAACATTATTTTTGGTGTAAATTTCATGAAAATTCAAGAGTTTTAGACCATGTTAGAAAAGAGGTTAGAAAACGTGTTAGATCTAACATTCTAACATAAACTTTATTTTTGCTGAATTCAATAAAAAAAAATGGTTCATTTACTCACAATATTTTTGTACAAAACGACCCCAAACTTTTAACTTCTTTTCTGCAGCTTCTAATGAAATTTTAGCGAGTTCATATTCTCTAAATTCTCTCTTTAAATCTTCTTGTTCCCATTGGTCTAGTTCGTATGGAGAATCTCTATAACCAGAACATATCTCACGTTCATGTTCTATTTGTTTTTCATGCATTTTTCTAACTTCTTGTTCGAACAAAGGTTTTGCATTCTCTACTGTATCTTCAAGTTCTTCTTCATCTAATTTCTCATGAACTTTCTTGTCTATGGAGTCCAGAATTTTTCCAACTGCTATACAATATTTTGGAGAAGCCCACATTGCTATATAGTTTACGAGTCTTGGGTCTACATACGTTCCTCTAACCTGTTTGATTTCATCAGGAATTCCTGCATGAACTTTGTATAAAAAGCAACCGCCGGAATTCCGGCGGTTGGTATATTCTTCACAAAATGCCGTATAATACTCTTCCCAGGACTTATTTTCCAACAACTTTCTAAAGTCTTTCCCAAACTGCTGACACATATTTGTTACATTTATATAACCATCCTTGTCTCTACGTAAGACTTCAATACCGTTGTAAGTGCCTTTTGTGAATGTTTCGCCATTAGATTTGTTCGTGAACGTTTTTGCTTCGACTGTCATTTTCAGTTCTTACAATAAAAATAAAAAAATATTTTTGGGTGGCTTAACCGTCGGACATCCGTTTGTGGCTTAACCGTCGGACCACCAACGATAAAAATCTCTGCTACTAGCAGTACTTTTACTGACAGTAGCAGTACTTTTACTGACAGTAGCAGTACTTTTACTGACAGTAGCAGTACTTTTACTGACAGTAGCAGTACTTTTACTGACAGTAGCAGTACTTTTACTGACAGTAGCAGTACTTTTACTGACAGTAGCAGTACTTTTTCTGACAGTAGCAGTACTTTATCGTCGAAAACCCTCTCAAATTTTCCTTTTTACTGCAAGTAGCAGTACTTTTACTGACAGTAGCAGTACTTTTACTGACAGTAGCAGTACTTTTACTGACAGTAGCAGTACTTTTTCTGACAGTAGCAGTACTTTTTCTGACAGTAGCAGTACTTTTACTGACAGTAGCAGTACTTTTACTGACAGTAGCAGTACTGCTAGGAGCAGAGATTTTTATCGTCCAACCTTACAAATGTAAACTTATATCGTTCTATTTTCTTCACTAGGGTCTAACACCAAAGTAACCTATGTACATGAAATTTCACTGCATAAAAGGAAAAAACCTGCGCGAATCGGGATTTGAACCGAGGTCTTCGACGCCTTTAACGAGGTAGCCCATACCACTGAGCTATGAGCCGCTTACATATTCACAAAAATAAATTGTTTTCATGAGTTTTCTACGATGTTAGAAAAAATGTTATTTTCTAATATCTTCACATTCAATACTTTTTCAGCACTTTTCCGTAGTTATATATGAAAGACAATTCGAGATAAAATTTCTTCATCTGATATAGTCCTACCAGCATTTGTAAAGATATAGTCTAACGGTTTTGTATCTGCTACTTTTGTTCTTTGTTTTTCAACCTGAAGCATTTAATATATGTAAAAATATACTGTTTTAAAATGGTATGCCATATAGCTTCTTGAATTTGTTAAGAAGTATTTGAACGTATTTTCCATCTGTATCTCTAGCGTTTACATAAGCATAGCCTGCCTTAGTAAAATATACTTGTAATTTCCTATAGTTTACGCCGGTATAAAAGTAGAAAGAGTCTTGTTCTTCGCTATAGTAGTAAAACTCAAACGTATGCTTACCATAGTCTGTAATTTCAATTGCTTCATCTTCTAGTTCGTCGACAAATTCGAATACAATATCTCTAAATTTGCCTCTGTTCTTACTGTTTTCAGAACAAGTGACCCAACGCAAGTTTTCAAGTCTATTGTCGTTTCTTATACGGTTTATATGGTCTACAAAAGGTAGATTGTTAGGGTTCGGTATAAAATGAGTTGCAATGACAATATGTTTAAAATAGTTTTTTCCACCAATCCTCATCCTAGCATATCCGTCATTTCGCTCACATTCGCTTAAAACTCTTTTTGTCTTTTTGTTTCTGACTTCAAATGACTCACAACAGTGAATTTCATATTTCTCATCTAACAAACAAGTTTCCCAACGGTCTGTTCCAACAAACTCAGCGTACATTTCAAATAAAATAAAAAAATGTTTTTTTAAAAAAATGTTTTATTTCATGCAATGTTTTATTTCATGCAATGTTTTATTTCTGTGCCGTCTTCAAGTATGCCCCAATATTTCCTTTTCGATATTACATGAACTTCGGAAAATACCTTATCTAGCTTAAAACAGCCCATTTTCTCACCAACTAAACCCATTTCAATGAGTTTGTTGTATCCTTCTTCGTTCGTCATGAGTGCGTCAATGTTCTCATAGTAAACCACAACTTTGGATTTGACTTCGGAGAAGAATTTGTTGTACTCGTCAAGGACTGCTTTTGCGAACTGAGGGTAAGACCAATGTTCGACAATAGGTTTTAATGTGGTTACTAAGCCACTTTGACCTTCGGTGAACTCGTACTTCAAAACAAAAGGAGAAAACCTTTCAACAAAGTTGTCGACCTTCTCATAGTGTTTACTCTTCATCTCTTGAGGTTTTTTAATGGAATATCCCCATGTCGAATTCATAAGCAATTTCAGTGTCATTGCAAGTTTGGGGTTTGAAGCTTTCCTAATATCATAGAGTTGTTGTATGACTTTTCCAACTGTATAGTTCCTTCCTGGGAACTCTCCATCTTCGTTTGGAATTCCAGTCGGAATATATTGGACAAACCTCATGTACGCAGCGTTAAGGTCAACATAGTATATTTTTTCATATGAGTCGAACTTGTCACAACCAATCGGACCAGTTCGTGGAAATTCAAGTGAGTCTCTTATCTTCTGAGAAACTTCTCCTGTTATCTCATAAACATCGTCGAAGCAACCTGTTTCATATAAAACCTTCTGACCTAACTCAGAAGCTCTCCAATACAATTTGACGTCGATTGGATGCCTCAATGGAAGTTTGTTTATAGCATCTTGAAGTTCTTGCAACCTCATTGGAAGTTCTTCTGGTTCAGGTTGGTATCCGAACAATCCAACTCCTTTTGGAGCTGTGTACTTCTTTTGTGCTATAACTTTGTCTGGAACAACTTTTGGTCTTGCTAACAACGAAAAGTTTGTTTCGTCTTTTGGTACAAAAGTTTCTGTAAGCTTGTCATCTGGAATTGGTTCCAACAAGCCTTTCTCGAAAAGAATGTTTACAGCTCTGACAATGTTGCACTTGCCTTTTCCGAACAATGGGTTTGTAAGACTTTCGTTCAACATGAAG